CACTTCAGCTAATAACATTCCTAAATGCAGAGCTCGCCTGGAAGAATGGAGGGCATCTAGAGGAAAAGTGATGAGACGACCTCCTATACGTGCAATTCTGGGACCCCACCCTAAAAGTGAAGAACAAGAATTCTCTGCTGCTGATACAGAAAAGGTCAACAAGACTCTGAGTGAATGCCTGCATTTGACAGAACAGGTAACTGGACCTCTACCTAATGAGTTCTGATCATGTAGGTCCTGTCAACGCAAAAATCCTCTGGGCATGTTAGACCCAGGTGAGTCAGATACAATACAACAATTAGGAGACTAATTGTTCCCCAAGTTAAGCAATATCATAGCTTTTGCCAACAGCTGAAGAAGTTAACCTTTACTAACTCACTGAGCTACTGAATAAGTATAGGCAATAATGGTAATAATAGTAATTGAACTACGATGTAATGAGAGTAGATAGAAGGAATTAACCTAAAACAAGTTTGCATTTGCAGGAACTTGTCTGTACCTCTGAAAAAGTCTGTTTCAAGTAGTTCTGAAGATGCTTGAACATCTTATTACCTCTTCCACTTACAATACAGTAAAAATAATTCTAATTTTGAAGAATAGGTGAATAACAATTCTGCCAAAGGAAAAAACCCTTTTCATTCCAGTTTAAAAGCAGTGAAACTACAGCACCTCAATGTGTCAAATGCATTGAAGTCTCTACTTTTGTGTTGACTTTAGGGATATCACGGTGACGAAGCACGTGCCATGTTGGAGGATCTGATACACAGCATTCCTGGGGTTAAAAAACTTGCAAAATATTGGATCTGCTGTATGCGTCTTGAACAGATGGGCCAACTTGGAAAGCTTATTGCTGTCTATGAGGAGGCCATTTTGGCAGGAGCAATGGTAAGCAACTTTTCTTAAAAATTGAGATTTACAATTAAAAGAAAGACATGAAAGTATGGCCTGTAAAATACAACTACTTCTGATTTTATTAAATACCTTTATAGTAGGAGGAGAGCCTCATGACTTACCTGGCCATAAAAATAATGGATTTGGTTTGTTCTGTAGCCACTGTAGGTACTAATTTGAAGAAGAATGGTTTAGGATCATCAAATTACCTTAGTACCACTAGAAACCTAAAATAGAACTTAATTTTATACCTACTGATGGACTCAATTTCTGTGCTTTACTATTAGCAAGATTTCAGGGCATCAAATACATCTTTAGCACACCAAATACTGAAAATACAGGATTCACTTGTGTTCTGACTTCACACTGAACAGCATTAAAGAAAGGATTTGTAATATGAAAATCATGTGGCCTGATTCACTTTCCCTGTAACTATTATACCAATTGAATAAGCTGAGATGATAATTAATTTTGGAATTACTTTTCTAAAACAGTGCAACTTTCTTTCAGCCCAGAGAGGAATTGCGACACACACTAGTAGATACAATCAAAAATAATGAAGGTCTTTTTAACTCTGACAATGGTAAGTGTGAGTACTCTGTTCTAGTTATATGTATGATTTGATAGCCAACAAAAGGTGTTTAAACTATTTGTACTGATATAAAATTTTAATTAATGGAAAATTTTCCAGGATCATTTTACACTCAATTGTCTTGGAAAACAATCTTGGCTAAACAAATCCTTTTCAACAGTGAGCATGTTAAAATGATTGGAAATGCTCCTGTATTCAGGCTTGTTAATTAAAATTTATAAAAGCTGTGTCATCCAGCTATTTCAGCCTGATAATCAAAGAGTAAATAAAAATACTCTTGTGAGCTAAAAATCAGTGCCTCTGACTCAAACTCCTTCACTATCCGAAGCCTGGTTGTGTTTATGGCATAGTGTCAATTAAAGGTTGTAAATATTCTAATTTTGGAAGCAAAGTAGCCATAAATATTTCCTTTGCATATAACATAATCTGACAAGTATCTGAACTCAGAAACTGGCTGAAATACTTGTTGAGACCTGCTGCACTTCAAGAGGATGACTTCTCAGGATGTGTACTTAGCCTGAGCTTTCAGGTTGCAGATTTGTAAAGGTGGCTAAAATTATCAGCAACTTAAATTGTTGTGGCTCAGACTTCAATGCACACTTACCTGAAATCTTAGCGTTCTACATAAGAATAAAAGTTATTTCTCTAAAAACATTCTCTTTAGTTGTAACTAATTGCAGATGTACTCTCTTCAATGTTGCATTTTCAGGGGGAACCATGATAGAAGCTCATTTAAGTGAGGTAGAGGAAGCCAGCAAGGAACCAAATCCATCTGCAGAACCAGTTCAGGAAACCTTCCAAGATCTCTGCCCAGATGATGACCAAAAGGAAGAGAGTGATAATAAGGCAGAGACAAGCAGTGATGTTATCAAAAAAGATGATTATATAGACTTAAAACCAAGAGAGATCTTGCCAAAAAAGAATAAAAAGCACAAGGCTAAAGAACGGGCAAAAAAGAAAGGAAAATGTGAAAGAGAACAGAAGGAGGATGGCATAAAAAATACAGCCCAAGCAATTAATTCTCCTGAGAAAGAGAATGACACATCTTATTCAAGGAGATGCAACCCTCCTACCACACCATATTTGGAAAGGTAAGATTGCTTCAGGTAACCATGGAAAGGCTGTAGTGTCTGCAGTTACTGAGTCCTGTTAAAACAGGCACTGCATTTATGACTATTTAGTTAAAAGCTCTCAAGAACCACATTTTTAGGATTGCTTCCTTCAGAAGGAAGTATTTCAAAGTAAGCTTCTCTATTTACCCAAACTGTTTTGCTTCTTGAATGGTTCACTACAGATTAACCAGACTTTTGTGACAGAGATGTAAATTCCAGATTTAGGATTCCCTTCCACTGCCAACATGGCAGTAGCAGTTCTATACGGAGCTAGGTAAAGAGAAAGATGTCTCCATTTCTCCCCTTTTCAAATGTAGATAAGGTTACATGTCATAACACAGAATCAGTGAACAAGATGTAACTGGCATGTAAAGATAACTTTAATTGTATCTTGAGGCCAAAACCTGGGTAGTAACCTCAATACAAACCAACTAATGCTTTTTTTTTTTTTTTCCCCATAAATTTTTTTCTAAGACAGTAGACTTAAGGAAGTTGTGCTCAGCTTTAACATCTGATGGAGCTGGAGTCCTGGCAGCTGTCCACTGTCCCTTGCAGCAGGAAGAACAGTTTCCCCTGATGGAATAGGAAAGAATCTTTTTTTGGGAACTCTTTTCAGGAAGTTTTCTGGGTTAAAATATTTGCCTAAGAAAAGAGTTTCTTATCTGGTTTTAACTGAATGAATGGAAAGGGACCTGTTTCCTTTAGCCATGGGAATGGGAAAGAGTTGAACAGAATCATGACTTGCTGTTTTTTCTCATTGCTGCAGAGGTAACTTGTATGATGGCATGACTTATGTTTATGTTTTTGGTTTGTTGTGTTCTTTTCCTAAGTGTGAAGACGCATCCTGAGGCAAATGACTGCAGTTCTAAAGATCTGAAACTCATAACTCCTTTGCGATATTCTCAGCGCATTCGCGAGAAGATGTGCAAGCTGCCTGATGCTGTTAAAGATCAAGATCCATGTGTCTCTTCACTTGAGCAGCTGGGAGACTTGGAATCAAAAGCCACTGTGTTTATTCACAAACAGAGCAATGCCCTCCAAGAAACAAGTGCTGAAATAGAAGAGTAAAAGTAGTGCTATTGCTACAGGGGGGGTTAAAGATTTGATATTTTTTAGGGAGAGTTGAAGGGTACTTTGTTTTATGTAGCTTTGAGGAAAGGAGCTGTCTAAAATTTTTATGGACTGCCTGTGTCACTAAATAAACTTTTAAGTTTCTGCCTTTTCAAAATTTTAACAAATCTGTCCTGGGTTAAGTACTAGACTAAGCACTGTTGTCTTTATGTGGACTATGTTTCATTAAATTTTCAGTTAAGGACTAGGTAGGTATAATGCTTCATGTTAGTAGCTCATGGTAGTACATTGCTAATACCTACTGTTTACTTGCTGTAATTCCTATAAATTCCTTAGAAACGTGCAATCTTTTAGTTTAAGAAAACAATGTAGGTGTTCCAGTACTACAGTGCCTACTCTGACAAGATTTAGCTTTGAAAACTGAAGCCAGCTAATAAGGTGTGTGCTGAATTTAAACTGTTGTATCTAGTTTTAGGATTGCTTCAATAAAACAGTTTAATCTCTTCAATTACTGAGATTTGTTCATTATCAAGTAATCCTAGATGAGATCTGATACACTACCTACTATGTGACAATTTTTATGTTGGTTTGTATTAATCTGTACTATGCTATACTTATTAAACTCAACACTTTAGTTGTGTTTGTTTATAAGAATGGATGCCTGGTGTGGGCTGTTTGGGTCCAATCTGGCTCGCTATGTACCCCAGCCCACACAATCTTACACAGGACAAAAGGCAAAAGACAAGAACTGGTCTTCTCCACGTGGGGGCAAAGTCCTAAATTCATTTCCAGGTGACCCCCTAGGTGGAAAAAGGAGAGCCCAGGTCCCTCCTGGTGGGAGACTTTTAAAGCCGGGGGCATGGCGAGTGGAGGAAGGGGACCACAGCCCCTGGGGCTGCCGGTGAGCAGGGGCCGAGGAGGAGTAAACCTGGGGCAAACCAGCACCACCGGAGCCCTTTGGGGGAGGGAAAGGCCGTGTGCTACAAGCGGGGACTCCCGTGAGGATACAAACATGCTATTCTGTGCAGTAATACAGAACCTAGTGCAAATCAGCTAAATATTTAGTGCAGTACAACATTTGTTCTTTATTTAAAGATTAAAGCTATTTAGTCTGTTCTTAAGAGTGAGGGGTCAAAGCACAACACTGCCGTACTTCCCATGTTTCCGTCTCCGCGCCCCTTCAGCAGCGCAGCAGTGCCAAGGCCGCCAAGAGGGCCGGGCGGGGCCAGCGCTGCCGCCCGGCCCCGGAGCCAGCACCGCCCTCCTTTCCCAGCCTCGGAGCCAGCGCCGCCCTCCTCCTTCCCCAGCCTTGGACCAGCACCGCCCTCCTTCCCCGGCCTCGGAGCCAGCGCTGCCGCCCTCCTCCTTGCCCAGCCCCCGCCCCAGGCGGGCGCGGGCAGGCCGGGGCGAGCGGCGGCGGAGAGCCGGGGCCTTCCCGCAGGTCTCTGCCCGGCCCGCTGAGGTGAGTCCCCAGCGCGCCTTGAAGGGCTTGGGGCGGGCTTGGGCTCCTCCTCTTCAGCGTAAAGGAGCCGGAGGAAGCAGAGAGCTCATCAACCCCTTTGAACACCGTGTGTGCACGCCGTGCACAGAGGATGACTTAAAAGCACCAAGGTTTTGAAAAAAGGATAACAACCCCCTGCTGCATGAGACATCCTGCAGGAGATGTGTTTGTAGCTGGAAAGGGGATCGTGTGCGAGTTTCAGCAGCTGTGGGCGCTCTCAGGAAGGCTGGGATAAAGCTCAGTATTGGAGGACAGGACATAGCCTCACGTTGTGCCATGGGACTTGCAGGTTGGATATCAGGAAGGTTCTCTTCCCAGAAGCAGAGGTGGTTAGACATTGGCATGGGCTGCTCGGGTGTGTGGTAGAGCCACCATCCCTCCTGGAGGTGTTTAACTGGATGTGGCACTCAGTGCCGTGGTCTAGTTGACATGGTGTTGGGTCATGGGCTGGACTTAATGGTCTCAGAGGTCTTTTCCAACCTCATTGATTCTGTGATCCCCTGATGTAGTCTAAACATAGTGACAGGACAACTGGGAACATTTCAGAAGTGCACGAGGGAAGGTTTACACTAGACGTTAGGAAGCATCTTTTTACTGAGAGGGTTGTTGAACATTGGAACAGAATTCTTAGAGAGGTGGTCAATGCCCTAAACCTCTTAGTGTTCAGGAAACATTGTCATGATGCCACTGTCATGCTAGTTCAACTTTTGCTCACACCTGGAGTGGTCAGGCAGTTCCACAAGATGACCATTGTAAGTTCCTTGCAACTAAAATATTTTATTCTATAACTGCCAGTTCTTGAAGTCTTTGCACAGTAGCTTTTACCAGTTTGATCTTGTTTATGCTGTTTTAGGTGAGAATTGTCACTGGAAGATTTAAGCTTGTTTCTAATAATATGCCTGTGAGTTTTCTTTAGTGTTATGAAACAACCTGCAGGAGTGCTGGTAACAAAAAGGAGATGCAAAGTTGTAAGTCTATAACTGATATTTTTGAAGAGATTGAGCATTTTAAATTAAAAAATGCAGAAATAGCGCTATAATGTTTCAAATTTGACTTTCTGGAGGCCTCATCTTCAGTAAAATCAAGGTAACTGTGCAGGGAAGTTGTTTCATAGTAATGCTGGACAGTTAGATACCCACATTTATCACCCCTTCTTGGTATTTTGTTTGGGTCTTTTTTCATGCAGGTTATATTAAGAGAAAAATTTAAAAAGTGTTAAGGTACTGACAAAGTTTAGAAGATAATCCTGTGAATGAAGAAAAGTGTTGGAACTGAATTTATAAAGAATGGAAGGATACAACGTGTTGAAAGTACTAGGAGAGGGATCCTTTGGCAGAGCTCTCCTAGTTCATCGTAGAATCAATGACCAAAAGTATGTAATGAAGGAAATAAGACTTCCAGTGGTAAGTGTGACACAAACATGGCTTCACCCACCACTTAAAAAAGATAAAATTTAAAAAATCCTAATTCTGGGTGTGTTTTTGAAACACTGAACAGTTTTTCTGAGAGTTTTGTGTATTAGACAGGTGTGTGGTATGGTTACTGTATAACTACATCTTGAGCTGATGTTGTTGGTACTAAATGAAGTACATGGTTAGATGTTGGGATTTTGGGAAGTGTAGCAGGTAGGAAGGTGCTTAGAATGAAATCCCTGTTCGCACTGATGCCCTTGGCTCAATTGCCATTGATTTTGCTAAAATGCAAATTTCATCTTCAATGTCTAATGAGGAAATTAGTGTTGTATTACTGCTGGTAATCATATTTGGGTTACATTCTCTGCACTCAGCTAAGCTAAAAGTCGCAAAATGGGAGGCACTGGCTTTCTGAGGCCAAAGCTCAGCAAGACCTGGGCACTTGGCCTTATATTGAGTTCATGCAGACTATCAGCTGTTTCAAAGTCAGTGTGTGCTGCTTTGTTATATAGTTCTGCTCTTTTAAAATAGAAAAGGTCATTAATTGAAAAAGGAAAAGATTCTCTCCAATTTTAAAAAACCCAACAAAATACCACATGCCCAAAAAACCTGAAGAAGTCTTCAGCTAGTAATATACCATAGATTAAAAAGATGGGGCTTTTAAACTTTCTAAATGACTTTAAATAACTGAATATCAATTCTTTAAAATGTTTTGCTTTGGAAAGTGAGTCACTTTATGTGTATACTTGAACATTTGTTAGTGTGAAATTTATAGTAAGTGTGTTTATATTTTCAGTCTTCATCTGGTGTAGAGAATTCTAGGAAGGAAGCTGTTCTTTTGGCTAAAATGAAACATCCAAATATTGTTGCCTTTAAAGAATCATTTGAAGGTAAGTATAAAAAATTTAAATTCCTTCATTTGTTTGAAGTTGCATACTCCTCAGGGATTGAGATTACTTTCTTTTTTTGTTTATAGTGTGTATTATAAACAAAATGCATATTTATTGTAACATAACACATAGCATGTAGTTAGAGCTTTCCAGTAAAAAGTATTACATGTAGTAAATAATCAATACATATCCTGCTAATGAAAATACTAATTTTTCTTAAATTGCCAAAAATTTAGCTGATGGACATCTGTATATAGTGATGGAATATTGTGATGATGGAGATCTAATGCAAAAGATTAAACACCAAGGAGGAAATTTGTTCCCTGAAGACATGGTAAGAAAAGGCATTGTTATGAACCAAGGAGGCTGGGAATCCTTTTCCATGTAAACAGTAGGCTGCTGCATAAACCACATTAGAAATATGCTAACATCTTGATGAAACTAAGTCACTTACAGATAGAATTGGGGAATTAATTCTTTTATAGTTTCCAGCAGATCAGGACAAGAATTGGACTGAAATGAATAAAAAAAAATGCTGCATGTATCTGAAAATTGTTCACATTGTTTGAAAACCAGTCAGGTTTGTATGCAATTAAGTTTAAGTAGGAATTTTACACAACAGTTCAGGTAGAATTTAAAGCATAGTAAGAGCACTGCCAACGGGAAGTGAGCAAACTACTCTGGTAAGATAATAAAGCTAACCAGGAGAATAAATGCCTGCTTTTTAAGTAGCAATTAAACCATTTAGTTTAAACCATTCAGTATGTGTTAACTCTTTTTACCAGAGAAGCTATAAAATTACATAGGAGAGGGTTCAAAGGGGCATTGTAGTGAATAGAAGCTACTTCCTGCTACAGTTAGGAGCATCACCTTCATCAAAATGAAAGGACCAGAAACCTCAACTAATTGAACATTTATATTTTCTATGACCTTTAAGAGTTTTCGTTTGTACTTAGAAAGGAGCACATTTCCTTTTAGAAACAGTACATTATTTCCATGTGAGTTTTGGTTTTGTTTGTTATTTGGTGCTTTGGGGTTTTTATCTATTTGCCAATTTACTCTGTAACTTTAGTTAACTTGTTTTAAAGTGACCATGAGCTAAAGCTCCAGGTAGCGATTCCCAGCTTTATTATTGCTATGTATTATTAGAGCTTTTTGGACACAGGTAATAAACATTCCTTCTGCAATGTTAAAATATAATCTGTTTTAAAGAACTCAGTCTGTTGTGCTGGTTGGAGGCTGTTATGCTGGAGTTACTTTTTACACCCAAATGTTCTGAATATGCTTTTTAAATTTAAAATTTAAATTTAATTTTTTAAATCTATTAGTAAAGTATTCATTATATTGAGCATTGAGGTGTTAGAACTCTTAGCTACTCTTTTTCAGATCCTTCACTGGTTTGTGCAGATGTGCCTGGCTGTGAAGCACATCCATGATAAACGTGTGCTGCACAGGGATATAAAATCCAAGGTGAACAGAGCAAGTTTTGTTGCCATTAATAAACTCTCCTGCATGCAAAAGTTAAACCCTCTCTTTTGTAATTTCCCGTGACTGCTAAGTTCTGTGGTTTTTATTTAGGCCTAAGTATATAATATAAATGAAATTGTTGAGTGCATGGGGTGATGTAATACTGTGGATGTAAACATCATCTCAGTATAGCTGTATCCTTCATATCCTCACTGCTGATAGCACCAATTGCTTGTGACACTGCATATAACTTAAAAGAATTACAAAACTATAAAAAAGTGTATGGATTATGCAGTTTGCAAATATCTTGCTTCACAATTTTTTCTTTTTCGCTCTTCCTTGTCAGAAAGAGGGAAATTCAGAAGAAAGTGGACCCTTGGTTTGAGTATAGCGCAGAGATTAAGACAATTCTAAGTTCAATTCTTCCTCTGCTACTGATGCTGAGGCCTTAGGCCCACAAAACCTTTCTGTTTTGGTAGAAGTATTAGGAGAAGCAAGTAAAAAGAAATATAGAGACAAAATATCAGAAGTGGGTATTGCTGTATTTTCCGGATATCCAAACTGCAGAGATGATTCATAGAAGAATATTTAAGTATGTTAATCTTTGCTCTTGAAATGCAGAATGTCTTCCTCACTCAAAGTGGAAAAGTCAAGTTGGGAGATTTTGGATCTGCACGCCTTCTTGCACAGTAAGTGGACATCCCAACTGATCTCAGTGGTGTCAAGCTTTATTTTACCATTGACAAACAGTACAGAGTTCATAAATCATTGCTTCTCACCTGGCATTTCCTCTTTGTCGTTTCATAGTCCAATGTCATACGCTTGCACCTATGTGGGAACTCCCTATTATGTACCTCCAGAAATATGGGAAAGTCTGCCATACAACAACAAAAGGTACTGGTGTTTTCAGTGGTCACAAATAATGGATGGGTTTTTTTAATTGCTATCTCAATCTGGCTATGTGTCTTATCCATATTTGTTTCAGAGAAGATACTGAGACGAAGAAAATTTACAAAGAGGTAATTACAATTTTTTTAAGATTATAGTGCATAAATTCCTCTTTTCTTAGGTAGCTGGAGCTCAGTATCTTTAGTCCTAGAAGTCTGAAAAACAGTGTGCAGACCTCTGTTTGTTTGGGAGAATAAATACATACATACTTGTGTGTATGTTTTAAGTGTGTATATATCCACAAACATAAGTATGTGTTGGTATCTTTTTGCTGGTCTTATTTTTTGGGGAATGGTTGTTTGGATGATGGCTGATGGATGATTTTTAACCTCTTCATGCCAGTCTTGATAATATAAAGATAATGGCACAGAATGGATTACTTAGAGAGCCCAGTTATTCTGGTCCTTATGCAAGAACTGTGATTGACTTCCTAGGGGAAGTAAGAAACCTTCTACAGTTCAAGTTGTTTCCTGCTCTTCTTGCAAGAAAGGCTTCAGTTGCTTCTTGTGCAAATGTCAGTACTCACTTTTGGTAGAAAATAATGGGGTTTTTTCTCAGTAAGAGAATTCTTTTTGTTAGGGCCAGAATTCCAGCTCTTAGAATTAGGATTATGTGGCTGCCATTTGATGTTAAGGGCCATAGAATACAAAGACTTTCAAGTGCAGAAGGATAAATATTGTTGGAGCAAATTACTTGAAAGACATCCTAGGAATAAAAAGCCAACTACCACTGTATGACAGTCATCTTCTTTTACATCAGGGTAGGATAAAATAAGGAAGAACATTTCCACAGGAGAGGTTAAACACATAATTATATTGTCTTTCATGGTTACTTACATTTATTTTTAGCTTATTCAGCTCAGTTATGTACACAGATTAAATGACACATTTTTCAGCAAGATACTGAACTGTAATTTCTGGCTCAAAATTTTTCATCTCTCTCTATATCTACAGTGATATCTGGTCTCTCGGGTGTATTTTGTATGAGCTGTGCACTCTAAAACACCCGGTAAGTACACCTTTATTGCCATGAGAAAAGTTTTGGAATTCCTTGAAACTTAATTAGCTGTACAATAGAGTTGACTGAAGTGCTTGCTGCTGCTTCCAAAAAGAGGGAAGCATTGCTCTACCCTTCCTATACCTCCTCCACTATATGCTGCTGTTTCAGCAGTTTTTAGGACCTACTGCACCTTTCTGTAGAAGGCACTACTTTCAAATTTGTTAGAAAACAATCTGGTTTCTATTTGGTTAATTTTCCTCAATATCAGTGAGGTGATCTCAGCATATTCAATCCAGCAGCTGCCAGGCTGCTTCCAGATACCTGCAGTTGCAAGAGCATAGCATTTTACAGGATCAAGATAGTCCCAGGGCACAGTGACAAAGACACTCAAAATCTTTGCTAATAAAAATATATTGTGTGCAAGTACAGCTACTACAAGGTAGTAAGCAGGAGGCATTTTGCATCACTTGCATCAGTGATACACCTTTGCTTGTTCTTCAAATCAAACAAATCACTGTCCAAGCACCATTCTCCTCTTGGGACAGTGGGAACCTTGATTAATGATTCAGTCTTTCTGTCATTTCTGGGCCACTGTCTTTTACAGTGTTGTTGCTGTGTTTCTTATGTGTTAACATCCGCTGGCTTCTCTGTACAGACTCATAGGTAAAATAAGAACCCTTATCAGGATATGTTTGTTTTGCAGCAAAATGAGATCCTAATTGAGGGTCATTTTATCTTAGTTTTTTATAAGCAGCAGTTTTCTTTCATTGAGCGAATACTGTATCTTGAAATCAGAGAACCACAGAATATTCTGAGTTGGAAAGAACCCACAAGGATCATCAAAGTCCCAACTCCTGACCCTGCAAAGGACAGACCCAAGAATGCCACATATGCCTGAGAGCATTGTTCACATCCTGTGTATCAGCGAAAGGTTCTCCACAGCTGCAAGTGCTGGCTGTGCAAGAGTGTGGAAGCTTACACTGGTGTGACTGAGTGATAAGGGAGCCTGTGCATAGGGTTGTGTTAGCCTAAGTAGGTCTGTGGCAAGTCTTTGGCAGTGTCAGGGCTATCGAGGCAGAGCTCAGAGCTGGGGTTCCAAGGAGGGAGTATTCTTCCCTTATTAGCAGTGTTGAAAAGTTGTGTGTCTGGTTTGATGTGATGATCACGTATGTTCTTGCATAATCTATGAGAGGTCATACAAAAGATGACACCCCATAGGTGCTTGGCACCCTGCAGCCAAGCCAGTGGGGTGTAATCAAAGGAAACTTCCTGCATGAGAGCTAGAAGTTCTCAGACATTAGATTTGCAAGAGGATGTTTGTGCTTTTACAGGCTATTTTTGATGAATTTTTTTAAATCAAAGCCTTTATATTTTTGAGCTGTTTCACATTTGCAGTTTGAGTCCGATCTCAAGTATATGAATTGATGAATTTGGTTTCTGTGAAAGTAAAATTCAAACAATCATAAATTTATAGGAGTAATTCCTATCTGCTTTTCAGTTGTAGAAGTTAAATTATGTCAGCTACTTTTTACCTTATGCTTTAACCCTGTGCTGTAATATTAATTTATTTTAATGCAGTTTCAAGCCAAGAGCTGGAAACATCTCATCCTTAAGATATGCAAAGGGTCCTATGATCCACTTCCATCTCACTATTCCTATGAGCTTCATTACTTAGTAAAACAGATGTTTAAGAGAAATCCCCAGAATCGCCCATCAGCCAGTACTATTCTTGCAAGAGGCTGCCTAACCAAACTTGTGAAAAATTGTTTGCCTTCTGAGGTATGGTGTATTCTTTGTCTCTAGATTTCAGCAATACTATCTACATTTTAGATACTAAATCCTTTTCATTTCTAGTTTGTTGTTGTATAACTATATAAAGTAGTGTGTACATCCTTCTCTAAAATACATACAGTTGTAGACTTATCAGAAAACCTGAGCTTTTAAAAGTGTCTCTTTTGAAAATTAAAGTTGGATGTTGACTGATGCTGATAAAATTAGATATTGTTAGCTGAAACAGTGCACTTGTATAATGAGTCTATTTTTAACAAATAGTATATGCAATAATTTTAAGAAGTTTAAAATGATACATTACTTGCATCTCTTCATACACATTTCAGAGTGCAGATGAGTTTGAGCAGATATTAAAGGAAACCAAGAAACCTGAAGGCAATGCAACAAGACAGAAGGGTAAGTCAGTAACATTTTTTTGATGTAAGGAATGACAAAATGAGTAGGAAGTATAAGATCTTAAATACAGCTATGAAACATTAGCATTATATGTCCAAATCTACTTTTAATTATTTCAAAATCTAATATTATTAAACTTACATGGAAAAATGCTTGAAGGGTGTAAATTATATTCCAACATAAGTAGAGTGCAAAGCTGCAATATATGTATTGTAAGTCATAAGACTTGTGCTAGAAATAAACTTTTCTTTGCTAGAAATAAAAATAAAGTTTTAGAATCAGCAAAGCTTTTAACAGTGGCATTTATTTTAAATACAACAGTTCTTTCTTTTCCAGAATATGGTGAAGCATGTTATGTTCATTATTTAATTTTTAGAGAGAGAATGTTGGACTTTTTTCTTCTGCATAAATTTAGCTACACCACAATTAGTGCCCATTTGGAACAGAATAGTAGCAGGACTGTTGAGAATGAGCTGTGCTGTTGGAAGTGTGAAGAAGCTGTCACGTAATTCTCATTGCTTGGTTCAGTGGAATTGCTTTCATACCTCTGGAATACCACATTACTACAAGTGTTTGATAAAGTTGTTAACTCTTGGATCTCTTTGTTAATCTGTCAGGTAGTGTCATGGCTGGGAGGAGCTCAAACCATAAGACAGAAAATAGAGTAAGTGCTCAAATATAAATACAACATTTGTATTTTAGTAATTTAAAATATTCTGTATTATAGAAAAGTTTCTAATGAAAATTATTCCTATGCTAAACCATAAATCAGCCTATTAGTGTTTAAATTGCAGGGTGTGTTTCTCACCAGGCTTTTTGATTCTTTCCATGTTTAGTTTAGTTCCAAAGTGGATCTTTTTATAACCCTGTCAAAACCCAACCAAAAAAACTTCTCTTGTCTTTCTAATTTTTTTTTGATACTGCAAAAGATCCATTTTCTTTGCTTTTAGGACACACTTAGAACTGGCTGCTGTGGAAACAGTCTAGTCTGCACATAGTTCTCACCAGTTTTTAGGGCCCATATGAGATTTCAGGAGAGGAGAATTAAGTCACAGGTGGCCAAGATGTCCCCTATAGGTACATTACCATATCCTGACTCAGCCATATTTAGTATATTTTTTAAAAGTGTGTTGCCCTGGGGCTTATTTTATTTTCTTTTCACAGACTTGTCAATCTGAGAAGTTTAATATTTGGGAGCATCTTGTTTTCCCTGGGAATGTAAATCATTTATATTGTTTGTGTTCTTAAATGTGAAAAAACTCCAAAGAGAAATTATATCGAATAACTATGTGTGCTTAGCTTCAGAAACTGAAGTTGTCTGTCATGGCACACAGTGTGAAATACAGTGCCATCATAGGTAGGGTGCAATTGCAATTGGCTTCAAAGTGTTAGTGGTTTAGTTTAGGTTTAGTTTTCAAATCCTTCAATCTCTAGGCCAGGTATTTTATAGCAAAACTGAAATAATTAATGCCACATTAATATGACTACTTTGTTTTTCTTGACAACAAGGATAATAATTAATGAAAACTTTACTATTTTAAAGCAAAAGAAAGATGAAAGCAGCAAGCATAGCCCCTTAGAAAAGAAAAATGCTGAGGGTTTGAGTGAAGGCACAAGGAAACAAAGGAAGTCTTATCAAGAAGGTAAGTTGGACAGTTTTAGGCCTGATGCACTTCCTTCTGTGTACTGGTATCTACATGTCAGTGATACAGCCATTTAAATAGGTGGCTCAAACTAGTCTCAGGTTACTCAAGACAAAACCATGCCACCATTAGTTACTTTTGCAAGTACATTGATTCATACTGCTCATCTGAGATTTAAAAAAATATTTAAAATTCTCTTGTCAAAGTAATAAAAAATGACTGTTTGAAAAGATTTAGAATAGAATAAATGTATGGGGAACACTTTCCAGTTGAGATTTGCACCCACAGAATCAAACATCACTGCTAGTTAAGTGATTCTTAGTACTACTTTGCCTGGACAGGGCAGTCTGGACATGGAATCAAGTTAGATGCTGGTTATCACGGGTTTTGGGTTTTTTTTGTTGCCATTACAATGTCAGTTTCTGCTGTCCTCCCAGGAAGTACTGATCTGTCACACGCCCACAGAAGGCAATGGGAAAAGAGGATATCCAGTACTGTGCTGGATGTCCTGGAAAATGCATCCTTGCTTTCTTCCAGTTTTACATCTGAAGAGACTGAAAGTAAGATTTAATTAAATGTGCTTTTAATTCAAGTAATGTCAGTGATTTTTTACAGCTTTTTAAAGCCAAAATTTACATGGCACGTTTAAAATTACATTAAAATAATTTAAAAATACTTCATTAACAAACACTCAAAAAGTTCACTGTGCTGAAGAGAATTTCTATGTATTTTTGTGTGACAGGAAGATTGCAGAGAGTGATGAAACTGACAGATAACAATAGCAACCCTAAAATTATAATAATCTCTAAGAAATTATCCTACAGTCCTCCTTTTAATACACCATTTGTGGAGGTAGCAGTGGGGAATTCATTTGGTGCAGAATGCAGCCACCTGTCTTTCAAGTACAGCATACTATTGGGAGCATAAAACATCTACAGCTCTACTTTTGTTGTGATTTAACATGCAGGTTAAGGCCAGTGACAAGAACTATCAATGATGTACCTCAGATGTGAGGCAGAGACTTTTCTTTCTCTTGATTAAAACACTTAGCATGAGGTTTCTTCTGAGAAGGGTTTCAATTTTAAAATGTCCCTCAATTGTTATGATTGTTTAATGTGATTGTGGATATGTGTTCTAGGTAAATGTGAATAAATGCTGTGGGAATAAATAATCAAGATATGAGTGGTCAGAAAATTCCCAAGCTGTGGTAGGAATGTTACATGATAGTTATGCACAGGACAAGGAGAGTGGACAGAGGAATGCATGTATTTAAGTGTTCTGCTATTAAAAGGCACAGAAACAGCCTCAGGCTTCATTTGGAGACTTGCAGTGCCACCACCTAAGTCTGCTGAGACACTGCCTCCTCACACCCCTCAGCCAGTTCCTCTGGGCTCCCTGGCCACAAGGAGGTTCCACTGTTTCCTCAGTTTGTTAAGAGGACAGTGCTGTGACAGATGGAGTTATTTAGACTCTCTTCTTCCTGTTTCATCCTGTATCTCATTTCTCTCCTGAATGTGACCTTGAATGTAATCCACACTGCTAATGCAATTTTGTGTAAACAGCATTTGTGAATTATTTTATACTCAGGTGGTGGTGTTAGAAACTACAGTGAAAATAAGCCACGGAGGCAGTGGAACAAGGAACCCCCTCAGACCCTGATGGACATGCTCAGCAATGCAGATGTCAGCTTAGCATTTAAAACATACACAATTTATACACCAGGTAAATCCCCATTTTCTGGGAAAACATTTTTGCAAAAGGTTTAATAAATAATAAAAAATACTTTTTCTTTCCCCCCCCCCCCCCATACATGGTTCCTATGTATACAGATCATTCACTTGGGTCTATATTACAACAGGCTAGTTTTTGGGGTTTACCAAATGAAAAGTGGACTTAAAGAAGCCAAGTTTGGAATTCATGAGTGATTGTACATCTCCACTACAGCTCCTCATGATGGACTTCCACTTGCAGCTCAACAGCTGAATGAGGTTGTGGCAAAGCACAGAGGCCTGCTGTGTGCTCCCTCCCCTGAGCTGTGTGGTGTGTGTTAGGCGGATGCAGGAAATGCACTGTAGCCCCATCAGGTAAATCCCCCCTCACTGAGGCAGTGCTGCCCTGGTTAGAGGGTAGGATGGGCAGATGGCACAGCTGAAGACAGCTGCAGTCTACAGATGTGTACAGCCACGTTCACAAATGTTTGTTCTGCGCTTCAGTTGCCTTACTAGGTTATCTTCCCACCTGAAATAGATAACAGCTTATCCTGGAATCTGCTACAAACTGGGGATGAATTAGACTATTTTGTATTTATATTCTTAATAGTTTTAATTTAAAAATTAAAATATTTTGATGACATTTTAATTTTTACATTTTCAAAGCTTCTGAAAACATATTGAGAGGTCCACTTTCTGATGAAAGCAAAGTGTCTGATGAAGTAGATGGTGAACATGAAGCTGTTGTCATAGATTCTGAGAGACTTGAACCTAGATCTGATGAAGATGACACGTAAGTCCAAGTGATGTCCTTGCATTTACATTTTCTTTTGTTCCTCAAAGAGATTTTTCCATAACATTCCCCTGAAAAAAAAATAGTATTTTTCTCAGCATCTAAATTCATCCCTCTCTTACATAATGAAATGGAAATTTATTAGCATTTGATATCTTCCAATGTATGAACAAAAATTCTGTGATTTTTGGATGTGTGTATGTTTTGGGGGTGGTTCTCAGATTCTCAGAATCTCAGATTGTGTCACTGTTTATTTTTGTGGCACCTAGAGATGACTACCCAGGCCTGTATTGCTGCAGTTCAGCTGCAAGCTGTCAGTTGTCAACACATTTTCTCTTAATATTTTAATTTGTCTTTGCTTTTGATAAAACTTACTTTTGTAAATTCCACAGAGAATCATAAAGAACCATTTAGGTTCTTTATTCACAGTGGGGCAGGAAGTAAGTCTCTTGTGCTGATATTTTTAACATAATTTATCCTAATTACAAGGTAATTTCTTTTGGGGAGAAAAGCAATTAAAGATTTGTGAAGTTGTGTTTTGGTTTTCAAAACAACATTTTTTTGAAATCTGTTTTTAGGGACTTTGAGGAAGATGACCCAGACTGGGTGTCAGAGCTGCAAATGGTATTGAAACAGAGCAACTGAAAACCTGAATTTACCTGCGATGAGTGAAGTTAGGTGTGCTGGTATCCAAGTTGATTTTAATAACTGGTTATTCATTAAATAATTTCCATTAAAAAAAAAACTGAGTGGGCATGTTTCCTGTATCACAAAACCAAGGCTGGAAAATGCACAGTAAACTTTTTTAGAATAGAACACTTGCAGATAGCTAAACAAGTCCATGTATTAAATATGTTTGGAGTTGGTAAAAGCTTTGCAGAAATGTTCAGTCAAATTATAGCATTGTTCAAATTGTCCTCTTGCAATATTCCAAGGAGATGGTGTCGCACTCTGAGAAGGTGTAAAGGTATTTTTCCTGAGTACATAATGAAGTGCAGCAGTGTGGTGGAGGACTGATGCTGAGTGGATATCAGGTGCCACCAAAGCCTCTCTGTCACTCCCCTTCTCAACTGAGCAGGGGAGAAAAAATTTAATGAAAGGCTCATGGCTCAGGATAAGCACAGGGAGAGATCACTCACCAGTTACTGTCACAGGCAAAACGGATTTGACTTGAGGAAATGGATTATTACCAACCAAATCAGAGCAGAGTAATGAAACATAAGCCCAAACCTTAGAACAATTTTCTCCTACTTTCCCTTCTTCCTGGACTCAATTTCACTTCACTGGTCAAGGCTGAGCCTGTCAGCAATGGTGGTCTCTGGGATAACAGATCAGAGAAGCAGAGAGGGTGGGCATGGATGGGGACACAGTTGGGTGGGTCTGTCTTGGAGCTGGCTGGCATTGGCTCTGTCCAACATGGGAAGCTTCTGGCAGGTGCCACCCCTGTAGCTCCTCTCTGCTACCAAAACCCTGCCACACAAACTCAATACATGCGTATATAAAAATCATTTTTGAAGGGTATATAATGGGAAACATTTAGCTATGATAAATAGTTGATGCTTTAGTTTGTGCCATTATTAATCCCCTGAAAATTCTTTGAGACTGAACTTTTGCCTTGATTCAATGAAAGTTTTTTGTATGCCACTGCTTTGTGGAAGGAAGCAAATGTATTCATGAATGAGGACAAATTTTCTGACTTTGTTCGGAGACATGCTCTTAGTGCAGAGAGTGCTATGGGCAATGTCAAGTTTGGGCTGTGTTCTGGTTACTGGGTAATAAGCAGACACTTTACAGGAAAAATGTGGCAAGGGAGATGGGAAAAATGCGTATTTTATGACTGGCTTTTTGCAAATATTAAAATGAATATTATATGTATTATGTTAGAAAGTTATGCTGTGTTAATTGTTTTAGTAGTGTGTCAAATATAGATTTAGGTTATAACAAAATGTTAAAATAGAAACTATGCAAGATACTTTTTTTAAAGAAAGGACTCGCACCGAGAGTCCTCTGAAATATTTAGGACACCTAAATATTTCAGAGAAATAATTTATTGCTCCCTTATCAGAAGAAACAAACTTCATCCTGCCTCGCTTATCCCTGAAGACGCCTCAGGATTAAGAGGAAGAAGTTGACACTGACCAGACAGAATCCTGTGTTTGAATGGAATTTCTGCATCATATATGAGATGTATGAACATGCAAAAGGCTATTGCTTTTAAGGGTTAATCCTTTGTTAACGCGTGTCCTTTTTCGGGCTTTGTCCGGGACAAAGGTACCCAGACGTCGGTAACTCTTTGTTACTGTTGTCTCGTATTGTCCTAATCCAAATTGTCCAAATTATTGTTACTCTAATTATATTCCCATTTTTATAACCATTTTATTACTATTAAACTTCTAAAATTTTAAAAACCAGTGATTTGCGTTCTACACAGGAGAGCACAAATGCTCTTGGCAGAGTTCTCCTGGGAAAGCGGTCCCGGACTACGTCCCTGCAGTAAATAATATTAGGAATAATACCTAAGGAAAGCTTTAGGAAATCTGTAGTTCTGATGTAGAGCCAGTTCATACCTCACCTCCCCTATTGCACATAGGCTGGTACCTGGTGACTTTCCACCAATGATTCAAGACCTTGAGGCAGTCGAGATTTCCTTTCGGGCCACCACTCCTACCACTGACCATGCAAATCCCAAATCCGTGTCCGTGGGAGGGAGGGGCGGTTTGTGCCAGGGAAATAAAGCTCCCTCCGCTCCCGCCGGCTCTGCAAGCGCCACTCCTCCGGCGGGGTGCGGAGCGGCGCCGGCTCCTCCCCGCGGCCGGCCGGGCTCCGGAGGCGGCTCAGCGCACGCAGGTACCGGGTTCTCCCGCCGCCCCCGGGCCGCTGCCGGGGCCGGCCGAACCGAACCGAACCGAGCCGGGCCGAACCGGGCCGGGCCGGTCCGGTCCGCAGGGCAGACAGGCCCCGGCGAGGGCTGCCCGCCGGCGCGTCCCGTCGCCATGGGGACGCGGGCGGCCCTTCGGTGCCACCGCTGTGTGCGGCCCGGCCCGAGCAGCGCTCCGGCCCCGCGGCACTCGGGGCAGGGACTGCTGCCCTCCCCGGAGCCCCCGTGCCCGGGCGCTGCCCTCCCGGGCCGCGGGAGTCCGGGCGGAGCGCGCCCCTGTGCCCCGCCACCATGGAGCCTGGTGCAGAGCTTGCCTGGCAGGGAACGTCTGGTATCGGAGCAAATCTCCCTTGCTAAAGCTCAGGACAAGTAATAAGAACGGTTTTGTAGTGTTTGGTCGTATTTAGGTGTGCAGCTTTGCCTGTGGAACCACTGAAAGCACCCAGTGACTTCAGTATTCCTCACAGAGGTTTCTGCATTACCCCTGATCCCCAGCTTCACTTGGCCATGGTCTCCTGCAGCTTCTCATCTTGTGAGATCTAACTATAATAGTGTTATCACGCTGTACTAGTGTGATCTAATGGACAGCTTTAGATCACATCGTATAAACGAAATCAATATGGAATAGATTTTTTTTCCCCATTAAAAGATCAATTCTACAGTATTTTTCCATTCATGAAATAATGCCACATTTTACAAAATCATATCATAATCCTACGCAGTACTCTCTACTTCCTTCCTGTGCATGAACTTTAGGGTGCACTATGCTTTTCTTTATGAGACACTCATAAACTTGCTGCTTAGTAAAAGTTAAGATCTGCAATAATTTGCATACATGATATGATATCCAGGACATGATATTTTTAGGAGGAATCTACAGCAGTAATGTTTTAAAAAGTAATAAAAAGTACAGTCTTGAAAGGTAGTGCCTATTTCAGTAGTACCATCTCAGGTGCTAAAGCACTATATGCAGTACTAATTTGGGGAATTTTTATTTTAGCCACTGCTCTAAGAAAAATACATCATGGATAAATATGAACTCATTAAGCAAATTGGAGAAGGATCTTTTGGCAAAATATTCTTGGCAAAAGGAAAAATGGATGATGAGCCATGTGTTATCAAAGAGATCAATTTAACTAAGGTAAAACAACAAAACCTGAATTGTATTTACCAGATTGTGCTACTTGCATTTAGCTGGGTACGAACATAAGTTATTTTTTATCTCCTTTGTAGTTCCATCTCAATTATATAGAGCTAAGCTCTCCAAAGACTGTATTCTTTCTAATTTATTATTTTAAAAGCATAGATGTAATACTATGAAATGCTTTGCTTTTTACTGTGTTTTTGTTCCTTTTAAAGCTTCTTTCTGCCTGCAATGTGTGGCACTGCCTAATTCAAATTCTGTAATAGTTGATTCAACTACAATGAAAATATTGCCACTAAAGTAACAAATCACATTTCTGTGGTAAATTTCTCTATGCTTTTTAATTTCCTTGTTCCCCACATCCATATTTTCAGACAGGAGTAATTCACAATGGGGTCTTTCCAATTCCCATTTATATTTATGGCAGTTCGATTAATCTCGTCTGATTTTAAGTTTTCATTCTGTTGCTGTCAGCGGTTGGGATGCTTGCCCTTTCAAGGAGAACAAGAGAATTAAGTGGTTTTAGGAAGCTGCTGGTCACATCTGTTTTAGATTTGTGATTTAGAACGAGCTCGGTTGGGCCATGAGGCTTCTGCCTTCCTTCCCACCGACTGCAGAGGCAGCTTTGGGCCACTTGCTCGGGTGCTGGGGGAATACCACGCCTGCATCTGGTTCCATAAAGGCACTTAAAACCTCTGTGACTTCAATGCAGGGGTTTTAACAGTCAGTTTCAATGAGTGCCTACATGCTTTTGACAGGTCTGTTGCTATTCTGGGCCTCCCCAGAGAATTTCTAATATATTAGAGAATTACAGTAGAAGAACGTGTTCTACAAAGAGCTGTATGTGTTCCAGATTCAAACCCGGAAAAGCTGATACACGAGTAATGACAGCTAAATGAAAAGATGAATAGTTTCTCTCTCTGCTCGTGACCAATAAACCCCCTGCATTTCTAATCTTAGATTTTTGATGTACAACTAGAAGAATGGCTGCTAATGAAATACTGCTGTGAATCCCACTTGTTCAAAAATCAGAAGCTGGAGACAGAAAATTGCTACTTTGAAGTCAAAAGATTTTTTTTTTCAATATGGTAGAGTGTGTTTTATTCAGTTACTGAATTTTGAATCTTTAAGGGTTATATTTCAAAAATATTTCTCAAGAATGAGGGTTAGAAACTTTACTATACAATACAGGAGGACATTTTGAAGGATAGATACTCAGAGAAATGAAATTTTAAGTAGTATTGATGGAAGTGTCATCATAATAAACTAAATAGAAGTTTTCCATTAATGTAACAGGGCAAAGAGTTTGCCTGAAATGTTACAAAAACAAGTAACACCAGTAAAATGAAGGATTTTTTTTTCTTTTTACTTTGATCTTTTGACATCACCCCTGTTTGCATTACAGAGTCATCTGCATCCAAACTCTTCAAATTCTTATGGAAATTCTTTAACTTTAGAGTTTAAATTCTTTAACTTAAGTTTAAAAGTTGACATTTGCCTGTTTGTAAAATGTCAAAATTGTCTTTGACTTTGGTAATGTTCCAATACACTTTCAAACATGCACTGCAAATTTTTTTTAATGTTCTATATACATCATATTTTATGATATTTCTACATTGTCTTGGTACACTGTATTTTTGTATTAGTGGGAATAGCGTGGTAATGATGTAACTATTTTTGAAAGTGTTAAATATATAACTGCTAGCATTTAGTTTCTTAATTCTTTTAGATGCCTGTGAAAGAAAAAGAAGCCTCTGAGAAGGAAGTCATTCTGCTGGCCAAGATGAAGCATGCAAATATTGTAACTTTCTATGCTTCTTTGCAAGGTTTACTTTTAACATTTCTGTTTTCATTGTGGTGGAAGGAGTGGAAGGCAGAAAACCTACCTTGTTAGTGTTGATCATCCTTACCCCTGTCCCTAATGCCTTACCTAAACGTGGGAAAAGGTTCCCAACTCCTAGAAATGGACACGAGGCATCAAACTCAGGCATTACTTGTGGTTTTTTTCACCTGTGTGAGTGGGTACTTGGCATGAATCCTAGATCCTGAGCTGTCTGTACTGTACAAGTTGAACTTTAGTCTTGATTTTTTATGGAAGTCCAGAGTTTAATGAGAATTTACTAGGAGTTTCAACAGAAGAGAACTTTTGAGTATAGCAAGGAACAGCATGATCAAATAGGACAAAAGGCTGATTAAACAGGCAAGAAATAGAATGTTCATTTCATCTGGTCTAACCTCGGGTTCCTATTTTGTTTATCCACATCACATACGTATGACATTATATGATTATGTTACATACATCTTATATTCATGCACACATATCCACATACTTATTTATGCATATACGTACACACAGACAAAACAGGCAAGCACAAAAAGAGGGCATTAAATAGAAATGCAATCTGTTAATACCTCTGAAATTGTCTTTCAGTGTCTGGAATGTAAAAAAACAGTATTGGTATTTCATACCTTGATACAGCACTGTCTTTCCAGTGATCCAATATCAATCTCATAATGCTGTCTCATAGCCTTCTTTCTTCTGATGTATTTTGAATTATCACTCAAGGATAAAGAATTCTTCAGAACTAAAAGAGATAGAAGGAATTCTATTCACCAGGAAAGCTAGTTCCCTGTATTTATTTTTCCTCTGACATCTGCCATAAGCAGTGCCTTATGTCATAAAAGCTATAGTTGCAGCTTCTGTTCAAATTGTTCTCTGTGACCAGGACTGTGAATGTTTTAGGGGACGTGTAAATCAGATAGTCTTCTAACCCCCGAGAGGCAAGAATAGGTTGAATTTTTCTATTAAGCAGGCCCTGCTCTTTATTTTTTGCTTTTTGGAATCTTGTCTACTTTTAACTTTTCCCCTAAGCCTTACTGCATACTTAGTTATTGAGCAAAAACCCTGAACTTTGAAGAATTCTGCTACATTCCCTGTAAGAACATCTATCAG